AACCTATCTGTAAAACGTGTTTGGATTGCATTCTAAAGTTTGTGGGAACCGAAGTGTGATTAGGAAGTTTAAACCACTTTTGTGAATTCCAAGACTATTCGTCATCACACGAAACCTTTGTTAAACTTTGTTTTGAAACTAGTCAGGGTAGATGTACTAGTACCTCAGATATTTGGTTTAGTAATCTTCATTGTTATTTTGACCTTCAATATGTGGTTTTAATTCCACCTAAATTTATTTTCCAAACTTTTAACTGTATTAATTTCATATGTATTCCTATAACAAGTCCATGCGTGACCAGATTGTCTAAAATGTGTTGCACAAATACAACACTACACGACTCGGACAAATTACGTCTTCTCATTACTTCGTCTAAATATCCACTTGTGTCAAAAATAGTGACTGATGTAATCGCACATTGATATAAACTTTCATTAATTTTTACTGTGCTATCTCGTTAATATTATATTGGTAGTTATATTCATGTATGCACCCTGTGAACCCTTGTTTTCTTTTTTAGATAATCTGTAGTTCCAGTGACCTCGTGGGATTCATTGCTGAAGGAAGTGGTTTCCAGTACCGTTGATTTTGTATTTTGTGTCGAATCACTAATAAATGTATTCTCTATACCTCAAATAGACATTCTACTTGTTAATAGTCACTACTAACTTCATAGAATGTTGTGAGCTACAGAGTTATGGGGTTAGGGTCATGTGTTGTATTGAGTAGCGCGTTTAGAAAATACGTCCGCCCCTGAGGAATATTGTCGTCAATATGGAGTACATTCTCGTGATAAATCTGTTAGCAGTAATTATTATCAGTACCTATATTTCGTATGGATGGTACATAATGAAACGTACTAATTCAGTAGTCAAAGGTTAGAACTATCCGTTAAAATTGAAACAGGTGCTCATGTAAGGGAAAACTGATTAATCGGAATTTGAAACATCACGTAAGTGATAAAGTTTATAGCATCGTTTACATGCGAATAGTTAAGGTTATTTTTTTAGAAATGATGTTTACTCGTTGATGGTTTAAGGGATGTTGTGTTTGATAGGAAATAGATGGGACATTGTAACTGAAAAACAGTGTAACTGGATAAGCAACATCAGCTGGCCAGTATACACTTATTTTGAAGTAAAACACGATCGGGTAAAGTATTTCAAAGACAGGAGTAGAGCAGTCTTCTGAAACTATTAATTTATTGGGCAATTAAATTTGTCTTTGAATTAAGACTGAAAGTAAGCGGCATATTGGTAGGCTAAACGATAATCATTATTCGATTTCGTTAGAATAAGTATCCGAGTACTGTTTCACTCATCATTCTGTCTTTTGAATAACTTAGTAACATGGCGTTTACTTTCGGATCCAAATTACTAAGTAAAGGTTAATATCCCTAAGATTAAATTGTCGCCAAAGTAAGTAAATCTGTTCATATCTAGAAAATACTAAGGTTTGGAGTTATTTTTTTGCTACCACAACACCAGGTGACTCACCAATTAGTCACATCGTAAAACTAGATCTGTCAAAGACAGTCTACTTCTGAGTTCTAGTTTTATCATGAAGGATGAACCATACCCATAGGTTAATAGGATCAGACGGATGATGTCAATTCGAAACTAGGTATCTACGTTTCGCAGCTACAGAAAACACCACGTTACAATCTATTCCTTTAATCGTGTCAATCAATGTGACATCAATTGAGACTAGAGAAGGAACACCACTGGTTTTCACAAAATTTATTTGTGTTCGTTAATATAATGTACATTCCGTAATTATAGGCAAACTAGGAAACGCACCAAGTCATCACATATACGAACAATAATTAAGCGCACAGGGTAGAGTAGATTTAAAGGAATGCCTACTCGATATGGCCCAGAGTTCATGTGGAGTAACACATGCCTACATCTGAAAGTGCGTGTGTAAGGTATCGCATTTCATCAGCCTTTCGTGTAAGTGACTCAATGGGTCGCCTCCATATTTAACAAATGCTCAGTCCATGAATTCTACTTGTACCTGTAAAACACAAAGAATACCCTGCTGGGATATGGTGCTGTGTTACACCAGAGTCCCTCAGTTTACAGATAAATCACACCTAATATCAGTATTACCGCTTTTAGTTGAAAAAGTCATTCGACTGTGTCACAAATGCTTTTGGCTGGATTCCTCAGTGCCAAGTATTATTCCTTATGAGAGTGCATTGAAGAAACCCTGTAGGGTGATATTGAAGCTTCGCCGAAAATTGAATAGAAGCATTCCACTCATACAAGATGGATGCAGTAAAGAATACATTATTAACTCATTGCGCTCACTCCTACATTACCCTATAAAATTCTCTAGTTTTGAAATGAAACATGCACATATATATTGTGTCGTTTACTTCAGATACACACTAATATCTAAATTTCATACGCCTTCTGTCTCAATACTCCATGTAATAACAGTTTGATAGCTATTTACGAATGCAGTAATAAGTATTTCATGGGCCACGAGTAGCACTTGGTATTCAGCAGAGGTATGGGCACTTAGTGATTGTAATTTAGAGAACTGATACGACAAGGTTAGCTTTTTTCTAATATATACGCAACTATCAACACAATGAAAAGATAATGACGAATTGTTATCACAAGCATTCTATTTACTATGGAGGGAATGTTATTACAAACTAGCTTCACAGTAACATGTACAAGTCTTGCATGTCATTGCATCAGTAATATTAGCACACTAATTGTATTACGGCCAAATGTAAATGATTTAAAGGCATCGTAACAATAACTTTGCGGGAGGTAGATGTATTGAAAGACTGCTTGCAGACACTATGCATGACGACATCTGGTAGAATGTCTACGGAGACTGACAACCTGCAATGAGGAAGACAAAAATGAAACAATTAGGAGACACATAACGCACAAGATAAGTATTTTTGATATAAGCATAAAACTTGGGCACTGTGGTAGAGTATAACTCCATTATGGATACGATTTTATTTTGGTAAATCACACAGTGTTGGAGAGCAATATTACTTGGTGGCGTTTTGAGCACAAACTATTGCTCATCATCATATCAAGTCAGTCACACAACTTTTTGCCTCATTCATATACATGAGTATTTTACTTAAGCGTACTACAGGGATAAAAGGTCACTCGTCTCATTCACTTCTATTCACACCATTTCTTACGTCCATGTTACTGACTTTTGGTTTATGTTTTCCTCTTCGGTGCACTTTATCTGGACAGTTTAAGGAATCGGGAAATGCATAGAGTACTTAGGAAACGGCATGAATAATTGTTTAAGCTAATTAACACTAGGTAGTTGTGACACTACGCATTTGTAGTGACAAAGCTGACTGACTGAGTTTTAACATGGAACTCAGCACAGAAGTGTAGCAGTTCGATTTGTGACGTTCCACACTTGAAAAATATTATATTTGGTTGGTAATAAGCATAACATATTTCATCAGATGTGTTTCAACTTCGCAGTTGGGCTACGTGATAAAATTAACTAACTAATGAGATATAACGAGACAGAGTGTGAGAGTTATCTCGGGTAAGAGGAGAAATTATTGTAAGATCACTTTTTCAGTTAGACAAGAACTAAATGAAAAATACGATTACCATTTGTTGACATTTTGCCTATTTTTATCCCCGTTTTAACATTTCACTATACCTGGACTATAGATCATTCTGACAGACTGATTTTCAACATAGAAGCGTGCACACAAGTGCACCCGCTTAAGTTACCACGTTCCATGTAGCACACAAAGGTAGAGGAAAAAATAAATTAAATGGAACTCTAATGAACAGAAATGTGATGAAAACCGAACAGTCATATGGAAAAAATATAAGGGTTGCTCAGATATGTGCGATTACACAGAGTGAATGCATCTGTGTCATTAACAACGTTTGAAATCACATTTCTACTTAACACTAAGCTTAACCCCAATATTACTCACCATATTAGACTACTTAACACAGAAGAAAGGGTACAGACACTACGATCAAAAACCAGTAGTCTTTTCATATCTTCCAGTTTCAATGGTCACTTCTCGCAGCCTAAGTGGACAATACCATCAGCATACAAAAAGTTGACAAGACTGTTCCCTGGTAAGGGCCTAAAGTGAGTAACAGACAATTCGGTTAATACATTTATGATGAAAGTGAACTAAAATAAGGACGACAGTTGTAGAAATGAGCCTTGTACTACATCCTTCTTTGAAATATCAGTTCCTTCATAGTTTAGTTTCAGTAATAAGTGAATGGAATGTAGTCTACAGATTCATGAAATTCGCATACTGACGTACTACTTTCCTAGAATCCTAGTTGATGTCTCCTCAGGAAAGTGGGAAATGAGCATTGCACTTGCGTAAACTCAATAGGCTGTGAACTGCTGGCAATGAAAACGACAACAATTTTTGGTATTACTTAATTCCAAAAACGATCACATAATCTTTTATTCCGACTTCTGGTTCCATCAGATGAAATTAAAGGGAAGAGCTGAGAATAGAAGGGGTGTTGAGGGTTAGACAGTATAGATTTAGACCATTTCTCGCATGAGTTTAGATGTCTTTTAACTAATGCATTAACGAGTTGACGAAATGGTACACCACTTGCCCTAATGACAACCTTAATACCCTACACAATACGACATAGTCGTTTTTGAGTAATTCAGGAAAGAATAAGGGGGAGCAGTAAAGACCAATGCAAGAGTTAACAAGTTGTAAAAAGAGAGGTTGAATGATTCTTGACTGTCTTGACTACATAACATGGTAACCTAGACTGAAGGTTTTCTTAGAAATCGACAAGATATAGAATGACCAAGAAAGACCAGAGGATAGATTTACTCCAAGGTATTTTATGTTAGACTTAGTTTCTGTTTCAGTGTCCTCTTTGATACAAGCATCTTGTGAACGACACAGTTTTCGCAGTTCACGCTTATGAGTGAGGGGAAAGTTAGCTGCCTGACATTTAGAGGGATTTAACGTAAGACCACGTACCTTAGACTACAGACAGGAAGCAGTTAAGTTTGCTGCAGTCACATTGTAACATGACAGGAAGTGAGACGGTCAGATCACCAGCATATTTGACGAAGTTGCTCTCATTAGAAAGAGAAAGGTCATGTAAGACGAGAGAGAAAAAAGAAAAGGGAGATAACAATACCCTGAGGAACACCAGCTCCAGCAGGCGAGGCGGAAGATTTACCCTAATATACAGTATGCTGCATTCCATTTGAGAAATGATAATGCAACCAATCAACTGCCCAGGACCCGTGTTTGCACGATCGAAACCTTATTCAACTAAAGTCATCTAGGCGCTGAGTCAACAGCAACGGCGAATGCTGAATGACCGAAAACTAAGTACAAATGTGACAAAGCACAAATCCAGTTGCAAAGTAGGAGACGAGTCCCGGGTGGAAGAAGAGATTACCGAAAGGTATCAATTTTTCATTTGACAAAGAGCAAGATTATGAACTACACTTATCATTTGTTGAAATTTTGGAGATCATTTATCAATGTTTCGCATTTAGTTACGCACAGACTGTCATTCTGAGTAGCTTTCAGTATGAGTTTGCAGAGAAGTCCACCTGTTTAATTTACCACATTCCATGTAGCACACGAAGGTAGAGACATAAAACTAAATGGAAGTTTAACGAGAGAAAATGTGAGGGAGAATAAATAATGACAAGGAAAAACATGAGTTGAATAGATATGTGAGATTACACAGAGTGAATGCACCAGTACCAGTACCAAAGATTTGCAGTCACATCTCCGGTATTTCTTCCAGCCGACTGTCAACAATTTTATGAACCAATATCACTTTTTCATTTGACCGACCCAAACGCATTTTAAACCTTAACATGTGCTGGTCAGCATTGTCCCTGGAGGAAGGCGATGGCTTAGTATGCCAGCACGTGTTCTAGCCATCTCAACCTATTCAGCTTCCCTACCTTGAAGGCTAACTAACCCTCCCCACCTAAACATTTATGCGTAACCTCAACAGCACTCGCCATATTATACTGCTTTACTGATGAGATAGAACGCGGACACCTATAATCAAACACCGGTATTATTTTCATATTTTACAGCATCAGGGGTTACTTCTCATAGTCTAGGTGGACAATATCATCAGCAAACCGTAAGGTGATGAGAATATTCCCTGATAAGTCTTTGAAGTCAATTACAGACTATCATATTATTATATGTGTGATTGAATTGAACTGTTATAAGGATGACAGTTTAAGAATTCAGCTTTGTATTACATCCCACTCGGAAATGTGTTTTCTCGGATAATTCGCAAACAGTATTCAGTGAACAGAAAACATTCTGTAGGCTTGATGAAACTCGTAAACTGACGCACTACTTTTGCAGGCAATATACTATTTCCTCAATAAAGTGAGAATTGAATACTTCGGCTGCATAAAACGAGTAAGTAGTATTCTGGCAATACCAATGACTACAACAAGTCTAGGAGTTAAGCACTACAACTTTTACTTTACTGAATACACCAGCAGACTTTACATAAACACTTGACAGATCAAATTTATACAGGGAGTCAGTAAGATTTAGTAAACTAAAAGTGCTTTCGGTTTCCACAGGAGTTCTCCGTGCCGAATTTATTCCTTCAAGGGCCTACAAAGATTAAAACTTCAATTAAATAACACTGATGTGGAAGAAATTCCATTCTTCATTACTACACTTAATGAAAATGAATGCACTAAGAACTCAGTGCAACTCGATACACAATAGTATATATACAAATAAACTGAAAAATAATGCCCTCCTTACCTTCTAAACAACTTGGGTGACTCTAAAGAATAGCGGCCCAAACCGAAACGACCTTTTAACGCAAAAATGACCTTGACAGGGACAACTTCGGCCAATGAGAAGGCTCAAAAAGGAAGGCGCATAATTGTAAAAAACGGTTTCTATAAAAGTAATGCAATCATAATAAACAGTTACAAAGGATGGCGCTCGCGTATATGTCTCAAAAAACCTCCCAGTTTCTCATGGGAGTCTTCATAGTCGTATGAAACCAGTTTCGGTACATAAATTCATCCAGGTAACTGTAAATCATGGTATTTCTCGATCCATTAACCGCTCTTATACGTCTTTTTAGACGACTCCTAAAACTTTCAATGGAACTGGTGTGGGTTCCATCTAAAGGATTCCGGAAACCGTCCGTATGATTAACAAGATTTTTATCGCGTTCTTGAATAAGACGTGCTTTTCCTCCCTAACCGGAAATATCCAATTTTGTGAATTATTCGTTTGGGAAACCTGATCTTCCTATCCGGCGAATTTTTATTCAACCATTTCTTCCTCACCGAGCCTGTGTGTGGTACTTCCTGCTGTCTCGAACTACTGCCAAAGCTTCAGGTGCTACTTCTGTAGCAACACCCTCCTCACTCTTTCAAATATACAGGACTTGTGGGTCTGTTACGTGATTGCTGTGAAACCGAATAACCCGAAAGTTACAGGTAAAGTCTAAAGCTTTTACTTACATACTTTATCCTTCTTTTCTGCGCTCTCTATTGTCTTTTGCTGTAAGTCTATTGGACAAAATAACAGTCTCTTATTATTTAATCACCAGTATTAATTTAGGAGTAAAATGACAATAGATTCTCAACCTAAAATAAGTAATGGGACATCATACTCTGTAGTTACCAGGGCTTCAGCCAAACTAGGCAAACAGGAGAAGGTGATGGACTCACGCATACCGGTCCTGAAGACCAGGGCTAATGTTCCCAGCTCGTACAGATTACCCATGTCGCCACAGTCCTACAGTGAAGCTGTGCAAAGTCAGCCAAGTGGATGTGGCTCCACCCCTGTTAACACGACTAGGTTAACAGATCCGAGTGGGAAAATTGCACTAAGTGAGAACTTCATAACACCCATCCCCATGGTAGACCATGAAATAAATAGGAAGGCCAAAAAGAAACGTTCACGACGTCGCAAGACGACAAGAACGCTCCCCAAGAAGACAGACGACTGCAAGGTCTGTGCTTCTGTTGTCGAACAAGCAGACTCTGCCTTCGAATGTAACTTTTGCAACCGATGGGTGCATTGCAGATGCGACAGTGGGGTACCAAAAGCATATTATGACTTTATGCGTAAAAACCCATGCCAATGGTTCTGGTACATATGCCCGAGTTGCCGTCCTGATGTAGCCTCGCGTAGTCCTTTGAAAACTAAAGGTGGCACAGAAGTAGCGGGGAAAAAGGTGAAAAGCTCGACCCCCACCAATCCGGAAGTTAGTACAAACGCGAGTAAACCGGGGATACCAAAATCCTCACCGGTTAAACTTGTAACTCTTGACATAACCACTCCAGACACAGAGGCTGGAGAACCACGGGTTTCCGTCGTTGGAAAAAGACCTCAACCGTCTACCAGTAATGCTGGCTTTAGCACTGAGACACATAAAAATACCCAGTCGCACCAGTCAAACCAAAACGGTCTTAAAGGTGATCACAAACGTGCGAGGACCGAGCCCAAGCCCACGGTTAGCAGATCAAATTGTGTAATCCTCTTTAATGTACCAGACTGTAGCAGTAGTCTGCTGAAAGATAGGGCCCTATTTGATCAGGAACAGTGGTCCATCTTAAGTAGCACACTGGGTTTGGACATCCAACCAGTAAATCTATGCAGATTGTATAGGGGCACTGCTGCACCTGAGGGCAAACCATCCCCACTGAGGGTAACATTGAGCTCTACCGAGGATGTTGAAAAAGTGTTACTGGCTTCTCAAGTCCTTTCTATAGGGAGGGCCTGTAACATACGTGTTAAGCCAGACAGGCCGTGGAAGGAAAGACAAATGGCGAGGGAGTCGCCAGAGCTCATTCCTTCTGCCTCCATGGTTGTGCATGGCATTCCCGAACTGGGAACTGGGAACGCCTGCGAAAAGCATTGTCATGATGTACAACAATGGAGATGGTTAGCATCCCAGATGGCCCTGGGAAGTTCAGGGGCTGTCTCTATTTATAGACTGCCTCGACCCACTCATCTTATGTCGATTAACTCGCCACGTCTGTTAGCTGTCAAGTTCAGCTCCCAAGACCAGTTGACTACCGCTCTCCATAGATGGTACGAGACCAAGGACAAGGTCAGCAAACACATTCGCTGCTGCGAGAGCCGGCCTCGCACTCAAAGGAGAGAACAAAGCGTAGTAAAAGAAAATCCTCAACCCCTAGTCACACTACAGCGGTGCAGCACGGACGATGATAGCCAGTGTCATCCGAGTGCTCCAACTGAACTAGAAGAAAAAAACGCCAACAGGCCGGTTCCTGGGGAATCGGCCAACTAGTTCGTAGGATAACTCCTCAACCGATAGCCAATATCAAGTCAACTACCCCCCAATACGGGGAAGTGGTGAGACTGACTACCAGTTGCCTGTATAGTAATGTGAGAGGGCTAAGAGGCAAAATAGCTGAACTTAGACACCTACAATCACAACTAAACTCCAAAATCATAATACTGACGGAAACCTGGCTAACCCCTACGGTGGCAGACAGCGAAGTCAGTATAAATGATATGGTCCTAGTCAGGCGAGATAGGGACCTGAAAGAAGGAGGTGGAGTCGCCATATACGTCGACAAACAGCTCAGATGTGTTCACGCGACGGACCCTCCCCTCACAGAGCTCCCTGACTCCATATGGTGCCACTTCACCGTTGGGTACTGCAAATATCTAGTGGGCAGCATTTATCGATCACCTTCATGTGGAGCAGACCATAACCAGGTACTGCTAAATACAATTTCAGCGACTCAAGACATGGGTTATGATCAAATTGTCATAGCTGGTGACTTCAATGCCCCATCTCTTAACTTGGTGTCGGGAAAAGCCCATGATAGATTTGATCGAAATCTGCTGCATACCATCAGGAAGGCTGGATTCACCGAAAATGTCAAGATGGATACTAGATGGGGCCCTGATGGGAAGTCTTCTAGACTGGATTACGTGCTCACTAGTGACCAGCTACTAGTGGAAAACGTTCAGATCACGACTCCCATAGGTAGTAGTGACCACGCGGTCATAGTATTCGACATAGTCCTCCGCGAGCGCTTACAGTGGGACAATACACAGCCCTATCTGTGTTATAACAAAGCCAACTTTACCAAAATGCGAAGACTTCTGTCTGAAGCAAACTGGCCTAAAAAATGGACAGAGCTAACAGTAGAAGAACACTGGAGAGTGGTAAAGGAGATCATTCACCAGGCGATCTCAGACACTGTT